TTCAATTTTTACATATTAATTATAATTAGATTATTTTTTAATTATTATTTTGTCGTCAAAGAACAGCAAGTTATTATGTTGCATACTGGTGACAAAAATTGCAATTAATTGACCAATTGTAACTGCGCCATCGTCAATTAATTGAGGTCAAATAATTGCAATTAATTGCTCTCACAATTAATTATTCGGTGACCCTGTTCAGAACTACGCACGTACGTACGTACCTGCAGCAAGCATGATAGTCCTTTACATAGCATAAAATATATACATTAAAGCTAAAATTATCAACATAGATAATAACGACTTAGACAGTATACACATGATTAATTTACTTTTGAGTGTACTCTGTTTTTAGTGTATTTTTCTATGCAGAGAATCATAGCCTTTCCCTATAAAAAAAAAGGTCAAAATTCTATTCAGATTTTGTTCAGATTATTATTGTATATTTTTTAATTTCCTAGATATTTCCAATTTCCTGATTACAGTTTTTTATTTTGTAAAAAAAAAACAGGAAACTGCAAGTATCCAGGAAATTAAAAAAATATATTCAAGAAATTCTAAGGATATCCAAATTTTTATTGCGGAAAATGCTTATTTCTAAAAATAATAATATGAACAAAATCCGAATAGGATTTTGACTTTTTTTTTATAGGGTTTTCAAAAATAGTAATGGTAAGCTTAATGCTAGATCTTTTTTCAATACACATGTCATGCCTGAAGTTAATATTTGCTGTTATGCTCAAAATTGGGAGAGCAAAATTTATACATCTTAGATTATCATTAAACGTAGCATAATTATGCGAAATGGATGCTTATAAAGGATTCGAATTTAATGATAATTATTAACGAGAGTAGCATATAAAGAATAGTTATTCATAAGGGAAATTTTTTATTATTTATTACAGGACAAGTAGCTATTATTTTTTCTATTAGCTTTGAAGGGCTTCAGTTCCTCATCTGGAGTATAAAACCCCCAATCAAGGTTTTAAGTCCTCATTTTGGAGTTTTAAATCCTCATTCAGGGGTTTGAACCCTCATTTGGTTCTCAAACTCTTATTGGGGGCCTATAAAATAACGGTAATAATTAAGACTATGACAAAAATTAACGTAACACTGCTTAAAGTTGCTACTGAAGTTACACCTGCCTAAAATTGCTAACTAATGCGTGCGTGCAGGATGATCCAATTTCAGGGGCTACAGTAATTTCAATTTCAGGCGGGTATTATATTCAGGCACGCATAAATAGCAGAATTTCTGCGTATCTTTTCTGTTTTGCTTATCTGTTCATCACGAACACAAATTTATTAACCTAGATTTATTCTATATAAAAATGTCTACGCATTCAGGTGATTTAATCGATGGTACTAAAAAGAAAGCTGAGATCATAAACGATTCAAGTGAATTTGTTACAAAGGAAGAAGAAAAAAGATTAGTAAAAAAGCTTGATTTAAGACTCATTCCTTTGGTGTTTGTTATTAATACTCTTAGCTTCCTGGATAGGTATATATTTAAATACTTTATAATCAAATAAACCATAAATCTCATCGTTTATTACTTTAGGGTCAATATTGGAAACGCAAAATTAGCCCATTTAGAACATGATCTTAATTTAATTAATAATGAATATAATTGGACTTTATCTATATTCTTTTTGTAAGCTTTTATTATTATTATTATTATTAGAATGAACTGTCATTTCACAATTTGATCTTTGTCTCGGTACTTTATAGAGGCTATATAATATTTGAAGTGCCAACTAACATTATTTCAATCAGGATCAAACCTTCAATTTGGCGTTAGTTATATTTATTTATTTGTAAAATTACTTAGTAAAGTGGCATTTATTCTCATCGCTAATTTTCTTTTTATAGTCTCAAGACTCTTAATAGTGTGGGGTTTTATAGTGGTGTCCATGGCATTTGTAAGTATTAAAGATACATTAATACATGTTGTAATTTGTCTTTATTGATCGACAAATATAATTAGCATTTACCTAGTTTATTTTAATCAATTCGTAATTTAATATATGTTATGAATTATTTTCAAAGGTAAAAAATTATTCTCAATTAATGGCTACAAGATTTTTATTAGGTGTTTTTCAATCTGGCCTTTA